TGGGGGGTCCACTGCTCTTAAAAAAAAACTACACAAAAGGACAAGGAGCTTTTGTTTTGAGAGTGGCAAGATGACACACATTTGGTTCAAATCTATTACAAGGTCATAGTACAGTTTAAAAACACAGAATGAACAAAACAAATGTATGTTTTCATATTTTGCTTTCTGTATTTCCCAAGTTATCTAAATGGCACATGAGCAGATGTTTTTTCCCTACCGTATCCCATGATAACTGCGTCTTGTCTCAATATGTGAAAAAGAAACTGCTGTTAAGAGATAACTACGGTATACATAATAACTGTAATACACACCAAGTTCTAGGGCGGGTTTAGCTGAACCACAAATCGAAACTTTCCCAGCAGTCATACCGAAAGTAAACATCAAGAAAACCTCAGTATGGAGATACCCCCCCCCCCCCAATGTAACACTGAAATCCATTAAAAAATTAGTGAGACAATACAATTAACCGAATCCAAAAAAATGTTCATAAAACAACTGGTATATCACATTATGGTGTTTAGTTTTTCGGTTTTAGAGAACACATTTACTTCACATATCAAAGCACAATACACTGTATTAGGTATATGTATCACGACTATGACCCAGTCAGTCGAGAATGCAAAATGAACTTTGGACTATTGCTTTGCTTCCAAATTCTGCTGTAACTTTCGTTCTAACAAAAAATTTGCTATAATATTTCTAAATGCTAATATGGTACTTGCCGCATGTTTAGCATCCGGACTATAATACACCAAGACGAGAGACGTTGCGACGTTAATTATCAAACCGACCAAAGTGATGGCGTTCGGGGAAACCCAGAGGGGCACCTGTTCGACAAGCCATCGCCAGAATTTTTGCATGACCACTTCTGATATGGAGGAGCCCTGGGCGCTGTACTTGTGCTCGTTGAGCACTTCAAGTTGCTCTTCTGTCAGCACTTCGGTCATATTGACGCCCCAATCAAAGTCACAAGTCACAGGTTTATATTCATCCAACCTGCAGCAGCGAGGACAGAGATATCCGTGTTTGTACCAGCTGATAATAACAAAGATGGCGCCCGATCACGTGGCAAGCCTTTGACCCTTTAAAATAAGACAGTCCAAAGTATTTTACGGCCGGGTGCGATAACAATACTTTTCATACTGGGTAAGAATGATGGTGCACAATAAAAATACATGTCTTTGTAAATGAAAGTAAGTTTTCTAAATGAACTTTCGTCTTTGAGACTCAAACCTTGGTTTTCTCACCTGTCACAATTAGTAAGGTGAGCGCACCGGCCGGCTGAATACCTGGCGAGGTCAACCAGGCCGAAAATAGAAAGTAAACAACGCGCTGACAGGACACTGCACTGGGCAAGGCCAATGGCATTCCAAAGTTACGACTTTATTCACAAAAAAATGGAATTTGTTTTCGTTGGTAGTTTTATTTAGAGCCCATTAGGCATAGCAGATGCAGTTTGGTTGCAAGAAATTTTAATATTGGGAATGCAAAACAAAATTATGGTGGGTTTTCTTGTTTTTTTCAGGCAGCATCTTGTATGTCCAAAAAAGAAAATCTCTCATCGGCTGTACAATTTTTCCTGCAAGTACCATTTCCTCCAAAATGAACTAGCACAAGAACTAGATTGTGCAAAGAAACATTTATTGTTGAAATAAATTAAAGTACAATGTCTAATCAATGACTTTTGCATAAAAATAAAAAATAGCTATAAATATCTACAATCGTGAAAAAGTGAATGCAAAATCAAACATAAGGCAAAAAGAAAAAAGTTGCAAATGTAAACTGACTTTCAGAAAGTCTATATATTATATAAAGTCACGTTTAGTCTTCTGTTTATCCAAGGCAGTAATACTTGAAGTAAACCAGGGACATTCTAGGGTTTCCAAAATGATCTTTGGGACTATTAAAAGATATGATAACACACCCTAAAGTGCAAGTTTGTCTACCAATACATCTATTAAAATAAATTACACCAACAAAATAACACTGAGATACAGTAAGTTGCTATTTATATGACATTTCAGTTAGCTAGAAAAACACGATTGCCACACGCCATATTGGGTATTTGTTGCCTCAGCTTTTTGGCCTTATTTGATGCCCAGGTATATCATAACACCCTGTAAGACAGGCTATATATACGTATATTGTAAATTAATGGTGCACACAAGTGCTAACACTACTGCATAGCTGGAATAAAAAGAGTAAAACATTACCAACTAGTTTGTGAAAAATATGACTTTTTTTTGTGAATGATATACTTTTTAATGCGATGGAGGACAGTTACACAAGGGTTTGGATAGTCATATCCACTGAGAGTTGTAAGTTGGGATGTTGTGATGGCCTTACCTGTGTAACATGTAAAGTCAAAAACTGAGGCAAATTTATGTGGCATAGATGCTGTACATGCCCCATTGCCCATGTTACATACCAAGTGTTTATTACAAAATACGCAATTATTTCCAAACATATAACTAGAGGATCAGAGAGGCGATACCGCCTCTGGATATTGTACCACCAGCTGGAGTAAGCGCATTCTCATGGAAACCCCACCCCCAAAAAATTAACACCACCACCAGTCTTGTGCTTGACAAGCTCTATAAAATGCAATAAACAAGAGTTCTCAAAATATGCACAAAAAAAAAAATATATATATATATATACAGGGTATATCAAACAAGCGTAACTGTTCAAATCAAGCAGATGTTCAAACTGAGCTGTATTTTCCTAACACTGATCACTCCTGTGATTTTCTAGACAATAGGCCTATTGGTTTTCCTTGAAATGCGTTATCAGTATTGCATATTTGCTGACAAAAGAGAAAACCTAGGGACAACAGTGGGCAGATCTCTGCTAGTTTTGAAGTTATGTGGGGCAAGAAAATATGCAGAGTTCAGTTTGTGGGGGAAAAGTAGGTCAAAGGTCAATTTCAAGGTCATAGTATATGACTTCCTATAGAAGTTCAATAGTAGCTATGGGCATTTCTTTGCCAATTTTGGAGATATGAAGGCCAGGAAACAGTTCATCATAATTAGTAGGTCAAAGGTCAATTTCAAGGTCACAGTAAGATTGCCAGTATATGACTTCCTATTAAAGTTCAACAATAACTATGGGTGTATCTCTGCCAGTTTTGGAGATATAAGGGTTGAAAAATTTGCAAAGTTCAGTTCATGGTGAAAAGTAGGTCAAAGGTTAATTTCAGTATCATATTAAGATTGCNTACAATAAATAGTTTAAAAAATTTTAAGGATAAAATATGTAATAGAAAGGAAAAACACAAAGGAACAGTCAATATACAGATAAATATCCAAGTATTCAGCACACTATATATGAAAATATTCTAGCTTTTTTCTTCCTATGTATTACAAACAATTTTCAAGCTCATAGTTTTGACAAATTTTTATACAAATAAGTCAAACACAAAAGTCACCAGAATTACCTTCCAAACCTCATAGTTCCTGTCACATAAGTCTGCCAGTGAGCAGCATAGAAGAAGAATGTTGCTGCAAAGCACTGTAGAAACAACCAGTCTGGATTTGTCCCTGTTTGCATAGTCAAAGCTGTGGCCAGCATAACAAATACTGAAATCAACAGAATAACACTTGTTAAATACTGGCAAAAACTCCAAGTCAAAATTTTCAGTACAGTAACACTTCATCCCAACTTGCAAGACTGTGGGTTATCTCAGATGACTCCCATACAGGACACTTGCATCCTAAAATCATTTTCTCGTATTTGTTGCAATTCATATTCAATTCTACACTGGGGTGGCGCTAGCAATTTTTTCATTTAGTCACCATTTTTTTCTCCAAATGGTTTAAATTTGACTAAAATAAATCAAATCAACCCTATTTTGTTTAGCCAATTTCTCAGTTTTAGCATTTGGCTAAATTGGTGAGTGTCAGCACTACCCTACCTACACAATCTTAAGTACACATATACCTGTAGATATGGAGTCGCACCCATGGTCAAAAAGCTCTCCAAGAGGGGAACTGCTGTTGGTCCTTCTAGCTTGCTTGCCATCTATGGCATCCAGGGACTGATAGATGAACAAACCTAAAGCACATAATAACAGGGCACCTGCAGGGATCTGAAACAAATAGTTTAATTTCAATTAGTGGTCTTTAACTGGCTATGTGGCTACTAGTAAGGGCCTAACTCCCAGGAAGTTTTTTTTCATTTAAATATAATTTGATAAAATCTACAACAAACTTTTAAAAATTTCAGTGTATGTTTGCCTGCTTGTGTGTGTGAGTGTGCACTTGTGTGGAAATCTTTCAATATATTACTTTTACTTTGAATTCTCATTTAACATGATAACAATTCTTGAAAAATAGATTTCCAGAGTTCATTTAAAAAAGGTGTCAATTGTGATTCATAATTTTCCTACACACAATACAGTCAATCAAATTCCATTGAAATTCATGGATTTCATCCAGAAATAGAACATGCTTCTAATTACTGAGCTAGGGTATGTAATTGGATTCATGACATAATACCCTTTTACACCAGCAGGTGATAAGTCTAATAAGGCAGCTGTTGAATATCCTGCCTAAAGTCTGATAATATAGCATGCTGCACTGCCAACAGCACAAAGAGTGTACTTGATATTCTTATGTCTACCCTTTTTTTCTTTTTCTCTATTTATTCCTGAGTGAATCATAGAGGATAATTGTAAGGGATTCATTCAAGTTATGAAGATTTTTGATATATACAAAATTTTGGTATGTTTTAACTTTGGATTTTTTTTCTTTATTTTTATTTATTTTTTGGGGGGTGGGGGGTGAGGAGGGGATGTCACTGCTTTTAAAAAACTGCACAAAAGGACAAGGAGCTTTTGTTTGAGAGTAGCAAGATGACACACATTTGGTTCAAATCTATTACAAGGTCATAGTACAGTTTAAAAACACAGAATGAACAAAACAAATGTATGTTTTCATATTTTGCTTTCTGTATTTCCCAAGTTATCTAAATGGCACATGAGCATATGTTTTTTCCCTACGGTATCCCATGATAACTGCGTCTTGTCTTAATATGTGAAAAAGAAACTGCTGTTAAGAGATAACTACGGTGTACATAATAACTGTAATCACACCAAGTTCTAGGGCGGGTTTAGCTGAACCACAAATCGAAACTTTCCCAGTAGTCATACCGAAAGTAAACATCAAGAAAACTTCAGTATGGAGATACCCCCCCCCCCCCCCCCACACACACACACACACAAATGTAACAATGAAATCCATTCAAAAATTAGTGAGACAATACAATTAACCGAATCCAAAAAAATGTTCATAAAACAACTGGCATATTACATTATGGTGTTTAGTTTTTCGGTTTTAGAGAACACATTTACTTCACATATCAAAGCACAATACACTGTATTAGGTATTTGTATCACGACTATGACCCAGTCAGTCGAGAATCCAAAATGAACTTTGGACTATTGCTTTGCTTCCAAATTCTGCTGTAACTTTCGTTCTAACAAAACTTTTGCTATAATATTTCTAAATGCTAATATGGTACTTGCCGCATGTTTAGCATCCGGACTATAATACACCAAGACGAGAGACGTTGCGACGTTAATTATCAAACCGACCAAAGTGATGGCGTTCGGGGAAACCCAGAGGGGCACCTGTTCGACAAGCCATCGCCAGAATTTTTGCATGACCACTTCTGATATGGAGGAGCCCTGGGCGCTGTACTTGTGCTCGTTGAGCACTTCAAGTTGCTCTTCTGTCAGCACTTCGGTCATATTGACGCCCCAGTCAAAGTCACAAGTCACAGGTCTATATTCATCCAACCTGCAGCAGCAAGAAGACAGATATCCGTGTTTGTACCAGCTGATAATAACAAAGATGGCGCCCGATCACGTGGCAAGCCTTTGACCCTTTAAAAAAAGACAGTCCAAAGTATTTTACGGCCTGGTGCGAAAACAATACTTTTCATACTGGTTAACAATGATGGTGCACAATAAAAATACATGTCTTTGTAAATGAAAGTAAGTTTTCTAAAGGAACTTTCGTCTTTGAGATTCAAACCTTAGATTTCTCACCTGTCACAATTTGTGAGGTGAGCGCACCGGCCGGCTGAATACCTTGCGAGGTCAACCAGGCCGAAAATAGAACGTAAACAACGCGCTGACAGGACACTGCACTGGGCAAGGCCAATGGCATTCCAAAGTTACGACTTTATTCACAAAAATTGGAATTTGTTTTCGTTGGCAGTTTTGTTTAGGGCCCATTAGGCATAGCAGATGCAGTTTGGTTGCAAGAAATTTTAATTTTGGGAATGCAAAACAAAACTATGGTTGGTTTTATTCTGTTTTTCCAGGCAGCATCTTGTATGTCAAAAAAAAAAGAAAATCTCTCATCGGCTGTACATTTTTTTTCTGCAAGTACCATTTCCTCCAAACTGAACTAGCACAAGAACTAGATTGTGTAAAGAAACATTTATTGTTGAAATAAATTAAAGTATAATGTCTAATCAATGACTTTTGCATAAAAATAAAAAATAGCTATAAATATCTACAATCGTGAAAAAGTGAATGCAAAATCAAACATAAGGCAAAAAGAAAAGAGTTGCAAATATAAACTGACTTTCAAAAAGTCTATATAAAGTCGTGCTTTGTCTTCTGTTTATCCAAAGCAGTAATACTTGAAGTTAACTGGGGACATTCTAGGAATTCCAAAATGATCTTTGGGACTATTAAAAGATATCATAACACACCTAAAGTGCAAGTTTGTCTACCAATACATCTATTAAAATAAATTACACCAACAAAATAACACTGAGATACAGTAAGTTGCTATTTATATGACATTTCAGTTAGCTAGAAAAACATGATTGCCACACGCCATATTGGGTATTTGTTGCCTCAGTTTTTTTGGCCTTATTTAATGCCCAGGTATATCATGACACCCTGTAAGACAGGTTATATATACGTATATTGTAAATTAATGGTGCACACAAGTGCTAACACTACTGCATAGCTGGAATAAAAAGAGTAAAACATTACCAAACTAGTTTGTGAAAAATATGACTTTTTTTTGTGAATGATATACTTTTTAATGCGATGGAGGACAGTTACACAAGGGTTTGGATAGTCGTATCCACTGAGAGTTGTAAGTTGGGATGTTGTGAGGGCCTTACCTGTGTAACATGTAAGGTCAAAAACTGAGGCAAATTTATGTGGCATAGATGCTGTACATGCCCCATTGCCCATGTTACATACCAAGTGTTTATAACAAAATACACAATTATTTCCAAACACATAATAACTATGGATAAATCACTACCACCAAATAATGAGATGTAAAAAGCCTCATTAATTACAAAATAATGTTCAACTGTCAGCAGACAAAACAAGACTATTTATCACATGTATAAAAATTCAATTCATGATGAGATTCCTTTCACTACACACTAAACAAACAATAAATGGGACAAAAACGTTACCACATAAAACTTCACACTGGCTTTTTTTCCTCACATTTTGAACATTTTGAACTTGATTTAATCAATCTCTTATTGCAAATATGTTTGCAGTCTGTATGTATTCACTAGTTGGCATTTTATCTTGTTATTTTATGTAACATGACAACAAAGTTCTTCATGATTCAGTTTGTTTGTAAATCAAAATATGAAAGTCAAATACCAATGAAATACCATGTTGCCTTTAGAAAAAGAGCCATTTTAGTCTCATCAGCTAAAGCTGAGTAATGAACACTACAGTGCCTTCATTATGACTGAAACGATAACAACATATTTTACTCATAGAAGAAATAATTGTGTTAAATACCAGCTATCTCAATCTTTCATCCAAATTGTTATAAAAATGTACGACTTAAAAGAAGATGACAAAAATATTTCTGACCAAAAAAATTGCATTCTTATGTAAAGTAGCAAAAAACTGATGTTGGTGCACTGTATAATACACACACAATTCAATTTCATTAAATAAAGGAACTATGCACCTTTCCATTTCTAAAGTATGTGAATAATTCATAAAATCATCAGTATGAGACCTAACATGATATCTGCTAGGTGCACTGTAAAGCTGCCGTTCTTAAAACTTAATCTTCTGCTGCATGCAAGTCTCTTGCCTGGCGTTTTCTAAGATGGTGCAAGCCGTCACTCTCGTCATCACACCTGGTGTCATCACTTTTGTTTTCTGGCAAGAGTATTTCTTCAACTTCATTTTCCTCATTCTCATCACTCTGCTGGTGTTTCCTGTAGGTTTCATTATTGTCCTGTTCTGCCTCTGTATCCTCTGACTCAGAATCAGACTCTGTCAGACTGTCCTCAATTCCCAGCTCCTCACTAAAGTTTGTCCTGTCATGGGACATATCTGCAAAGCTCAGTTCATCTTCTTCTTCCTGATCAAACGAAGCTCCCTGAGCTGAAATTTGATCCAATGCATTTTCCTCTTTTTGTTCCAGTTTATCAGCCATTGGCTCACACATGTCAGTTTCTTGGTTTTTGGACAACTGCTCTGTTGATCCACTGTCTCCTGCACCTTGACTCATCTGGAAAATGCCAGCGAATATAAAGAAGACATCAATGTCTAATCAAATAGTATATATGTCTTAATATCTGCATTTTAATGTTTTTCAATCATAAGGATCTGTTTTCCCACTTATAAATGGTTTCAAAGGGGAAAATTGGAAATGTTTGTTTTATACATTGTAGTTTACTATATAATAGAATTAATGTTATCATTAGACATTTCTTAATGACTGGAATTTTGAAAAGTAACCAACTAAATCATTACAAGAACAAGTCTCCACAAATATGTCCACAATATCTACTGATATCAAATTTGATATTCCCTGAAAATAAATTCACCACAAAAAAAGCTAATCCCTAACAATGGCAAAGTATGTATATTCTGCTAGTCACAGCAGCAAGCCACTGATGTCTTTAAACACAAAATAGACATACCTGTGCCACAGTCTCACTTCCCACAGTGGTCATTTTACCCTGCACTTGCTTCATTGCATCAACTATTCTTTGCATCTGAGCTTCGGTTTCCAGTAGCTTCTCCTGCAGCTGAAGCATCTCATAGTCCGCTGAAAAAATCAGAATAATTTAAGAAATGCCAAACTATGTTTACTCTATAATTTTTATACCCTAACACTTAAGTCAAATAGATAAATTTTCTTTGTGCCAATCTAGAGTAATCCATTGTATAAAATTTCACAAAAATTTTACAAAAATTTTATCCTTGTCATCTTTATCCAGTATCTTTTGAAGTAAACTGTATATTTTCAAAGGACAACCATCACTACATAAGACTAACTTTCAAAAATCCAACAACATCTACCATCATTTTAATTATGAAATAGCAGCCTCTCTCTTTACTTACATATCTTTCTTTCATCTGCCTTGTTTAGCATAATATCAAGCTCTCTCTGTCTCTTCTTTTTACGTATGTACTCCGCATAATCCTCATCTCCAACTTCATCACTATCCTCCTCAGTAAAACTCTTCAATTTATCCGTGTACCACACGTTGTTCTTTCTTCCACCACTCTTGCTGTCGTCTTTATTGAAGATCTTAAAATACAAAGTGAAAAATATCAATAAATGACAGCATTCAATTCCACAAATAGATACACACATATCTTACAACTTAGGAAAGTCCACTGATGATGACATAGTTTTAGAGTATTTGTTTTAAAGCACACCTCATTTGCCTAAGCTTATAAACCGTACAGAAAACTATTTAGTATAAAAGATGCTGATCTTCTGTTTTGTAGGCAAACTCTGTTATTAATATTTGTCCCTATCATGTATACTAACCTTACACAGTGTATAGATGAGATATATCACAATGCCAATAGTGTACACAGGCAACATCATGGTGACCATGCCTCCTCTCCCAGAGCCCTGCGTCTCCATGGCTTGTTTACGCATCTCTGCTGCTGCCCGCATGCCTGGGTGGGGGGTTCCACCCTACATAACACACACATAATAGACATTTCAAAATTGTTGTTTTTACCACATCAAACAAGAGGTAAATAGAAATGATAATTTCTGTCAGAAAAGTTAATTTCTTTACACTGGAAAACACTGGCTCTAACAGTTTCTAAAGCACACCCCACCATATGAAATGATTTTTAAACAAATGCCATCCTCTTTTTTATTACTAAAAATGTCAAATACGTTATTATCTTCCATCAACCTCAGCAGTTATTTAGTTCAAAATATTGATCTGGCAAGAAAAAAAGAGTCATCTGAATAAAATAAATTCTTTCAAAGAGTGAGCTCAGATTAAAATTTCACTTTATGCATTTGTATCATTATAAATAAATTGCAAAATGGATTTTATCAAAGATACCTAGCATGTATTTTCATGCCATAGCACTTTTATTTCTGTTATTGAAAGTGAATAATAGAAAGTGTAAATAGGAGTGCTAGTGCATGAATTTTTGTATTAAAAGATGCCTGGTAACTACTGCAAGCATATTGATTAATTAGCTTCAACTTACCATCATATGCCTGTCACTCATTGGCCCTGGCCTCATTTTTGGTGCATGTGGCATTCCATTTTTATCTACAGAAAAATCAAAAATATATTGTTAACATTTTCCATTAAATTTATTAAAAGTTAAAAGGTGAAAGTTAAATATATACTAGTCACCAAATTTGGTAATGTGGGTTTCAATCAGTAGCAACCTGTGGTTCACACTGAGTGTAACTTTGTGCATTTTACCCATGCAACTTCTTAGACGATAAGTTTTCGTTTAAAATAGAAAAAAACTCTGCAATCAGTTAGATTTTGCATTGCGTTGTTTACATCTTTGACCCATTCGAGAAACTTTATCGTCGTCAGGCTGATCAGAACCCCAAGCCGTTCTGACTGACACTGAAGAGCATTGCTTACCCAACTTGTCAGCGTTGGTTTTCTCCCCAAACCCAAGTGCCCGTTTGATCATGGGATGGAAAATCTTCGGATAAACAACAACTAAACAGCCGACTACGATGCAGATTACAGCTATCGACTTAGCATCCATCTTCAGTGGACTGAAGCTTCTTCCTATTAGATGCCTCGTTCTCGACAATCGTATTGGCTATGCACTTTTTGAGATTAAACGCCTGTAGCGAGGCACTTCCTTGGATAGTGCGGAAAATCGAAAAATCTAGGCCCACTTCGCAAACATTATTCAAACTAACTTCCTCCAACACGACAGAGGTACTTTGTTCCCCTTTAATAGCCTTTTCAACTTAGCAATTACTGACATAATCATAAGGCAGGGTTTTTATTACGTATGATTGATTAATCATGAGGCACAACCACGCGTGAGAAAACGAGATAGAAGATGGCGCTGTCCTTGAAAGAGCTCGCTTCTCTTTTGAGGTAACACTTTCTTCCTTATTTCGTTTTGATGTGCATCTATTTAGTTATGTCTAGCCACCATATGTTCATTTTGTGTGAAGGGGACACCGTTTTGAATAAATATGAATAAATATCAAGATACAGCATCCCACCATATTCCTAAAACGAAATGGTTCTCCAGGTTGATGAAATGAAAAATGCAAGGGAGGGTTGTGTGCCACTGTGTGTGTGTGTGTGTGTGTGTGTGTGGTGGTGATGGTGGTGGTGGTGGTGGTGGTGTGTGTGTGTTGTTGTGTGTGTGTGTGTGTGTGTGTGTGGTGTGTGTGTGTGTGTGGTGTGTGTGTGTGT